TAATTTCAACCACTCAGAATAATAAGCGAGAATAGGTGACATGTTGTACTTTATACTACTCAAGTTAACCACGGCAGTTTTTCTAAACTCAATATCGTCAGGAGTAGGTTCCGGACAGTCAGTGATTGCTGTACAAAATTCGCCATGCAGTAAGGTAGGACATTTGAACCAAAGCTCAAGATCTGACATTTTTTGTATACCTCTCGAGGTCCAGTCAGCTGGATTCTGTGACGACTTTACATAACTCCATTGTTCAATCTTCGTATACTGATGCACAATGGCGAGACGGTTAGCTATATAGGTGCTATAGCGATTCTCGATATTCTTGATGTAGTACAACACTACCATGGAATCTGTATGGAAATTTACCTTACAGAAAAAATTAGGCAGACTTCTCTGTAAGACTTCGCTAAGCCTCACACTTAACACTGCCGCTGCCATCTCAAGCCTCGGTATAGTGACCTGTTTGATAGGTGCTACCCTAGACTTGCTGTATAACAAAATACAGTAGGGTTGTTCCTTCAAATAACTGACTCGAGCGTACGCGACTGCTCCGTAACCGATCTCTGAAGCGTCACTGAACAGGTGCAATTCTACTTCCGCGTCGGGTTCGTCAATTCTCTTCTTGATACCCCTATCTACCGTAACATGACCTATTTGACGCATAAAGTTTACCCAATTTAGCCACGCCGACATGTATGGCTCGTTGAGAGGCTGATCCCAGCCTAATTGAGACTTACATAGTTTTTGCAAGAGAACCTTGGCAGTAAGACAGACTGGAGCAATTAAACCCAAAGGATCGAACAGAGAAGAAACTATAGATAGAATCCCTCTCCTAGTCAGAGGCCTTTCAGGCGCATCGAAGTAAAACTTGAATACATCTCGTCTAAAATCCCACTCTACTCCTAGAGTTCGATGTGTAGTGTCATAACTCGTTGACATTTCTATCAAGGACTGTTCTTTACATACATCGGGCAAGATGGTCCTTACCTCCTCCGAGTTAGTAACCCATTTCTTTAGTTTAAAACCTCCCCTACATAATAATTCACTTATCTGCTTAACGAAACTCTTTGCTTGATCACAAGTGGGAAAGGATACCAAGCAGTCATCAACATAGAAATTATTCTTAACAGCATCTACGACATAACCATCATAACCGTCAGAGAATATTTGTGCCGTCTTATTCAAGGCAAAGTTCGTACAAAACGGCGATGATGTGGCACCAAATGGGTGAGATGTCATTTGAAACTCGGATGGTTCCCTCGCCATGTCTCCCTCTTGCCACCACAGAAATCTTAAAGCTCCTCGATCAGACTCAAGGACCTTTACTTGCATGAACATTTCTTCAACATCCGCAGAGACTGCGACTGCTTCCTTGCGAAAACGCAATAGTATACACACTAACTCCGCAGTTGTGTCGGGTCCTTGATAAATCATATCATTTAGAGAAACGCCTGCAAACTTGGCGGCACAGTCAAAGACCACTCTCAGTTTTTCTGGTTTTTTCGGGTTTAAAACTGCATGGTGAGGTAAATACCATCGAGGGCGATAACTAGGTTGCACTTGTATCTCAGGGACCTTCTCCGCATAGCCCTTAATAAAATTACTTTCAATACCTTTTGTATACTTGATATACAGAATGTCATCTTTCAACAATCTTCGCTTCAAACTCTGTAGTCTACTGTTTGCCACTTCATAATTCCCCCCTTTCATATCTGGGTTCCCCTTCCATGGTATAGGGACTACAAAATGACCATTTTCGAAGCGTGTGCCCCCTTCTACAATACTTATAGCTGCCTTATCTTCTATTGATACTGATTTATCATTTGAATAAACATCAGAAAACTCTACATCATAAAGTTTACGTATTTCGTTCTCCAAAGCCTGTATCTTACTGGTATGATTGACAACTCTTTTCCTGTATTCCGGATATGACGCAGGTCCGAAGACCGTCCACCCCAACAACGTCTTCACAGCGTACGGGCCTTTTCTTCCACCCAACCGCTGTTCTAACACCCAGTGTGCCTCTGGTACATCGCAACCAATCAACAGCAGAACTTCTTCAGAGTCTAGGTTGCCTATTGGTACATCCCTTAAATGTGGCCATTTAACTAAGTTGTTCACTGCCGACCTTGTTGGCTTGTGACCTGGTATATCTGCGACAATCAGAGCCCCTTCGATCGTAACATGTTCAGACCGATCTAAAGAATACACCTCAAAAGGAGTCTTTGTGACCGTCATTGTCCTATTACCACTCACAGTCTCTACTACCACTGACGCTCGGTCTTCCTTCAACCCGAGATACCTCAAACAGCTCGATTTTATCAACGTTACATCAGACCCGTTATCCAACAAAGCATAACCCCCCATTTCGGCATTTCCCAACATCAAACGTACAGGAATCATTCCTAAGCACACTTGGCTACTTAGGGATTTAGTAAATCCACAACAATTCGGGATACCAGGTTTATCATTTTCGCTGTGCAGCAAAGAATGGTGTTTCTTCTCACAACTATTAACGTTACAACGTTTTGCCAGCTTACATTCATTAACTTTATGCCCTTGCCTAAGGCAGACAAAACAGATGCCATTAACCTTCGCGTGAGACCATCTCTCTTGAACGGTAAGCGCTAAAAATTTTGGACATTTATAAATAGCATGATCCAAGGAACACACACTGCATTTAGCTTTCTCTTTCGAATTATTCTCCCGCTCCAATTGCAAGTGACAATTTGTCTTTAAGTTGTGTCCCTTTCTCGGACGATTCGCTAACCGTCCAAACCTACTATTAGCTACTCTCGCGCGGGATGCTATAAATTGAGTAAGCTCGTCAAAGGTTGGTTCTCTATTATCTTCAGTCAATTCATCCACCCAGTCCGCCCACTGGGCTTGCATAACTTGAGGTAAGAGTCCTACTATTCTCTCTAAGGTAATTAGAGAATTTAAGTCGGCAGTATACTTCATCTGTTTCAAAACCATAGAACAATTTTCCATCCTAATAGCTAGATTTGTTAGTTGCTCAGGATCACTGTAATCAACATTTGTAGTTTTGAATAAGTCCTCTAAAGTCTCCCGAGCGATTACATGCGCCTGTCCGAACAAACGTTTTAGAATTTCCTTGGCCTTCTTGTAACCAAAAGAGGCTTCCAACATAACACAACCCTCAATGGCTGTTTTCGCTTTACCCTTACAATAATGTATCAAATAAAGCAAGCGTTGACCATCATCCTTGACCCTTGATTCCACGTAGGTCTCAAACTCCCTTAAAAACTTCCAGTAACCTCTTGGTTGACCGTCGAAATAACTTAACTCAACCTTTGGTAACTCTGGACCTATGAAAAACGCCGTAGGCCTTACGCCTTTTGCTTGCTTCACGTCTAAATCAAGGTTTTCTATGCCATCTGCCATTATATCACAACTAGATTCACTATAATTACAATCGTCCCTATTAGAATATGAACCATGACACATAGAAGCATCAGAAGGCACTTGCCTTGTTTGAGGGGATCCATCCTTTTGTTCATCTCTTTTAACATCCACGAGCCTTGGACTTAATTTCCTTCGACGATTGTTTGGCATCGCAAGCGAACGACCAGATATTCCCAGAGACGATGATTGGAATCAACGAAACGAAAGCCAAACGAATTCGACCAAAATATTTGTTTAGAACTGTAAGATCCAAACTACGTTTGGACTGCTGGACAGCTGTCTGGATGAGTTAGATACGCGCCCTCGCCCGATTGAAACCAAAACAAAGTAATTGGGTAAGATGGCGGTTCTATAATTTACCATAAATTTAAGTGTACATTATTACCTAAACAAATATAACCACTCAGCTATCCAACCAATAATTGTTCAATTGATCAAATCTAAATTACAATAAATAAGAAAGTTGATAAAGGATGCAAGAAATTTACCAATCACAACAAATCAACGTTATTCTATCCTGGCTGGATAGATCACACACAACAGGAGGAACAAATCAATATGGCTACCGCCAAGAACAAGTGTCAAGTAAAACAACACAGATGCAGTTCAGGAAGAAACACAAACTTAGTGAATGCGTAAGAAAAACAAAAACTATAATAAAAAATACAAGTATTAACAACTCAAATGTAATCAAAATACGACAATGTACAACTAAGAGGATCAATAGGAACAAAGTGCAAGTAAATACATGGAGGGATTTTCACAAACACACAAAACATTCAAAATGGATCTTACAGTATCCTTATTATTATTTTGCGCTTGTATGAAATACGTATGCTTGAATATTGATTACTGCCTACGCATTTATTCACTCTGCTAATCTTACCACTAACCGCTTATTCGATTCGATTACTCATTTATTTTCACATGGTATATATATGTCCATGTTATTCATATTGAACACACAATCGCTCACTCGCTCGCACGGTCTCGTCACGCTCTTGCTCTGGCTCTCGTTCGCTTGCTTGCCTTTCGGCACAACTCTTCTATGCTTGTTTAACACATCTGTACATTTGGATATATGTGTGTGGTTTCGCAATAAACGTAATCGACACTTCGTATTGGCCTTCTGATTAATATACCGTTGGTACGTTATATAGAACGGTTATCGCGACGAGCTGTATACGAAGTTTAAGGATTATATCAAATACCGACCACCACATAATTGGCGATCCCGACGCGCGAACACGAAACAATCTTGAACGACGTAATCCAATTCCTAAAATCCAACGTACTCGATTACAATTGTAACTATCATTTGGATTATAATTATAACTGTGGATTTATTATCTCATTATTTTAATTATACGTACATTATCTCACGAACATTATAGAACATAACGATAATATTCATAAAAAACAACGATATTTTTACAAACAATTGATATTTTGGTGCAATTTAGTAAGTCCGTTCTTTGTTATAAATTGTACCATTTGTTTTTATCATTGTTTTTATCGACTCACTTTTCTCTGTGACATTCGCATTATATTTGTGTAATTTTTTTATCTTTATGAATATGTCTTTAAGCAGCGATACAATAGGACTTTCCCAAACGCCGTCCGTGAGGTTCATTAATGTAACTATTCCTCCTTTTAAGGTCACAGATCCTCAACTTTGGTTTACCAGACTTGAACATTACTTTGTAGCTAATCGTGTTCATACACAGCGAGATAAATTTGGCCACGCGAGTTCGCTACTTCCAGATGAAGTAGCAGATAATGTACGAGAGATTTTAATCAAGCCAGACATAGAAAAGCCATACGACGCATTAAAACAGGCAGTGATTAAAGCCGTCTCATTAAGCGACCGGCAAGCCATCGAACAGCTTCTCAGTCAAGTGCAGATAGGAGATAGGACTCCATCGCAGTTAAAAAACTATATGAGAAGCGTAATCGGAGACAGAAAAGTAGATAAAAACATATTTTATCAGTTGTGGTTACGACGACTCCCAGCGAACGTGCAGCAGATCCTTGCGGTTGAGGACAGCGATGTCGATATAGACAACATTGCTAAAATAGCCGATAAGATTTATGAGAGAACGAAACAAACGAGTCCGCAAGGGCATAGTACCACAATAGATGGACGAATCGATGCATTACAAAAGGAGATTAATGTTTTATGCCACAAGCTGATGAAACTAAATCAGAGCGATAGGCAAAGAGGATGGTCACGAAGTAGATCGAGGGAAAGAAGTCGATCACGTTCTAGGAGACGCTCAGCTCCTACAATATGTTGGTACCATCAAACTTTCGGCGATAAAGCCCGAAACTGTAGATCACCATGTAAATTCAAACGAACACACCGATTGTCGATAACCGCCGCAACAACAACAGCTCCTAGAAACAGTCGTTTATTTTACGTTCAGGATAGAGTAACAGGCGCTCAATTCTTAGTGGATACGGGAGCAGAAGTAAGCGTCGTGCCTCCAGTAAGTAACGAAACACGAAATATCGATACAGCGCTAACGCTTAAGGCAGCAAATAAATCCGATATAAAAACATATGGCAAGCGAAAAGTAACCTTGAATTTCGGTCGTACTACCTCATTCCGCTGGGAATTCATTATCGCAGATGTATCCGTACCTATAATCGGTATTGATTTCTTAAAGAATTTTGACTTACTAGTGGATACCCGACGAAACCGGCTCGTGAACGGCGACCATTCAGTAGTGATAAGAGGAGTGACGACTGATCACGCATCCATGAATTTAGTAGTGTCAAAAGACAAAAACGAGCCATATAGATCGCTTCTAAACGAGTATGCCGATCTGACGAAGGTATCATACGATAACAGAGATCTTAAACATACGGTACAGCACCATATTATAACGAAAGGTCCACCGACTAAATCAAGACCACGAAGGCTAGACCCGAAAAGGTTGAATGTCGCGAAACGAGAGTTCGAAAAGTTGACGAAGCTTGGTATCATAAGACCTTCTAATAGTCCCTGGGCGTCCCCATTGCATATGGTTTCGAAGAAGAATGGGGAAATCAGGCCATGCGGAGACTATAGAGCCCTTAACAAGCAAACGATAGCAGACAGATATCCGATAACAACAAGATCCGGCCGCAGAGTAAGATGGCCCCAACATTATGTCGCTACAATTTTCTATTAATAATAATCTACTATTTGGAATATTAATTATAGCTTCTACCTCATCGTATACACATGCATTATTAAGCTCATGTTATGCGCTATAAAACTCAACGTATCTTATGTACCCTTACACTTATGCGCATAATTTTTGTTTAAAATGTAAAGACAATACCGCTTTCCTTCTATTTCTTGCTATTATTTTATGTAACCTCACGGACGGGCGCAAACCAAATGTACAGCACACACCAACTTCATCTTAATTTTGTATAAGCCATTTTTCTACCCTATTCAGTCCTCTATTTTTTTTATGCAAACACAGACATTTTCCATATATCTTTGTTTGCAGGGGGGAGCTATTATAGCGACTCACGTGCTAATGGGTTTATTTTCATTTAACCCAGTTAAGCCCTTTTTGTTAACTTATTTAGCGGACAAAGCCATCCGTGCTATAACAATTTATTGTATCCTTATTATTATTTTGCGCTTGTATGAAATACGTATGCTTGAATATTGATTACTGCCTACGCATTTATTCACTCTGCTAATCTTACCACTAACCGCTTATTCGATTCGATTACTCATTTATTTTCACATGGTATATATATGTCCATGTTATTCATATTGAACACACAATCGCTCAATCGCTCGCACGGTCTCGTCACGCTCTTGCTCTGGCTCTCGTTCGCTTGCTTGCCTTTCGGCACAACTCTTCTATGCTTGTTTAACACATCTGTACATTTGGATATATGTGTGTGGTTTCGCAATAAACGTAATCGACACTTCGTATTGGCCTTCTGATTAATATACCGTTGGTACGTTATATAGAACGGTTATCGCGACGAGCTGTATACGAAGTTTAAGGATTATATCAAATACCGACCACCACATAATTGGCGATCCCGACGCGCGAACACGAAACAATCTTGAACGACGTAATCCAATTCCTAAAATCCAACGTACTCGATTACAATTGTAACTATCATTTGGATTATAATTATAACTGTGGATTTATTATCTCATTATTTTAATTATACGTACATTATCTCACGAACATTATAGAACATAACGATAATATTCATAAAAAACAACGATATTTTTACAAACAATTGATATTTTGGTGCAATTTAGTAAGTCCGTTCTTTGTTATAAATTGTACCATTTGTTTTTATCATTGTTTTTATCGACTCACTTTTCTCTGTGACATTCGCATTATATTTGTGTAATTTTTTTATCTTTATGAATATGTCTTTAAGCAGCGATACAATAGGACTTTCCCAAACGCCGTCCGTGAGGTTCATTAATGTAACTATTCCTCCTTTTAAGGTCACAGATCCTCAACTTTGGTTTACCAGACTTGAACATTACTTTGTAGCTAATCGTGTTCATACACAGCGAGATAAATTTGGCCACGCGAGTTCGCTACTTCCAGATGAAGTAGCAGATAATGTACGAGAGATTTTAATCAAGCCAGACATAGAAAAGCCATACGACGCATTAAAACAGGCAGTGATTAAAGCCGTCTCATTAAGCGACCGGCAAGCCATCGAACAGCTTCTCAGTCAAGTGCAGATAGGAGATAGGACTCCATCGCAGTTAAAAAACTATATGAGAAGCGTAATCGGAGACAGAAAAGTAGATAAAAACATATTTTATCAGTTGTGGTTACGACGACTCCCAGCGAACGTGCAGCAGATCCTTGCGGTTGAGGACAGCGATGTCGATATAGACAACATTGCTAAAATAGCCGATAAGATTTATGAGAGAACGAAACAAACGAGTCCGCAAGGGCATAGTACCACAATAGATGGACGAATCGATGCATTACAAAAGGAGATTAATGTTTTATGCCACAAGCTGATGAAACTAAATCAGAGCGATAGGCAAAGAGGATGGTCACGAAGTAGATCGAGGGAAAGAAGTCGATCACGTTCTAGGAGACGCTCAGCTCCTACAATATGTTGGTACCATCAAACTTTCGGCGATAAAGCCCGAAACTGTAGATCACCATGTAAATTCAAACGAACACACCGATTGTCGATAACCGCCGCAACAACAACAGCTCCTAGAAACAGTCGTTTATTTTACGTTCAGGATAGAGTAACAGGCGCTCAATTCTTAGTGGATACGGGAGCAGAAGTAAGCGTCGTGCCTCCAGTAAGTAACGAAACACGAAATATCGATACAGCGCTAACGCTTAAGGCAGCAAATAAATCCGATATAAAAACATATGGCAAGCGAAAAGTAACCTTGAATTTCGGTCGTACTACCTCATTCCGCTGGGAATTCATTATCGCAGATGTATCCGTACCTATAATCGGTATTGATTTCTTAAAGAATTTTGACTTACTAGTGGATACCCGACGAAACCGGCTCGTGAACGGCGACCATTCAGTAGTGATAAGAGGAGTGACGACTGATCACGCATCCATGAATTTAGTAGTGTCAAAAGACAAAAACGAGCCATATAGATCGCTTCTAAACGAGTATGCCGATCTGACGAAGGTATCATACGATAACAGAGATCTTAAACATACGGTACAGCACCATATTATAACGAAAGGTCCACCGACTAAATCAAGACCACGAAGGCTAGACCCGAAAAGGTTGAATGTCGCGAAACGAGAGTTCGAAAAGTTGACGAAGCTTGGTATCATAAGACCTTCTAATAGTCCCTGGGCGTCCCCATTGCATATGGTTTCGAAGAAGAATGGGGAAATCAGGCCATGCGGAGACTATAGAGCCCTTAACAAGCAAACGATAGCAGACAGATATCCGATAACAACAAGATCCGGCCGCAGAGTAAGATGGCCCCAACATTATGTCGCTACAATTTTCTATTAATAATAATCTACTATTTGGAATATTAATTATAGCTTCTACCTCATCGTATACACATGCATTATTAAGCTCATGTTATGCGCTATAAAACTCAACGTATCTTATGTACCCTTACACTTATGCGCATAATTTTTGTTTAAAATGTAAAGACAATACCGCTTTCCTTCTATTTCTTGCTATTATTTTATGTAACCTCACGGACGGGCGCAAACCAAATGTACAGCACACACCAACTTCATCTTAATTTTGTATAAGCCATTTTTCTACCCTATTCAGTCCTCTATTTTTTTTATGCAAACACAGACATTTTCCATATATCTTTGTTTGCAGGGGGGAGCTATTATAGCGACTCACGTGCTAATGGGTTTATTTTCATTTAACCCAGTTAAGCCCTTTTTGTTAACTTATTTAGCGGACAAAGCCATCCGTGCTATAACAATTTATTGTATCCTTATTATTATTTTGCGCTTGTATGAAATACGTATGCTTGAATATTGATTACTGCCTACGCATTTATTCACTCTGCTAATCTTACCACTAACCGCTTATTCGATTCGATTACTCATTTATTTTCACATGGTATATATATGTCCATGTTATTCATATTGAACACACAATCGCTCACTCGCTCGCACGGTCTCGTCACGCTCTTGCTCTGGCTCTCGTTCGCTTGCTTGCCTTTCGGCACAACTCTTCTATGCTTGTTTAACACATCTGTACATTTGGATATATGTGTGTGGTTTCGCAATAAACGTAATCGACACTTCGTATTGGCCTTCTGATTAATATACCGTTGGTACGTTATATAGAACGGTTATCGCGACGAGCTGTATACGAAGTTTAAGGATTATATCAAATACCGACCACCACAAGCTCTTAACCAACTGTGATTGCTACACATCGAAACGTGACTTGTTAAAATATCTCTGTATTAAGCCATTCTCTGTTATGATGATCCCTCTTTGTTTAGCACCCAAATAATCTTCAGGAAGATTTTTATTTTGCGCGCAATAATAATTAAATCGAAGGTTTTCGAAAATACTGCGTTACTGATGCCTTCTGTTTTCATTTATTTTTTGGGTTATCTGAGGGATTCCAATTTTTCATTTGCTAATCTCCGACGTGAGACAACTCCACTTGATTTGGTATTGAACCAATGTCACGTTGATTCTGGTAAGAGAGTAGCGTAATTGTATTGGTTTCCAACCACACGATCTTCAAAGCTGAGCGTATAGTTACTAAGGAGATTTACATCTAACATGTAACACTTAGAGGAGGTAGGTAATTGTGAAGGTGAGAACAATTAATCAGCATGGTATAGCTTAGCCTCGCAGGCGTCGTCATTCAGTGTATACCACACCTTTCTACATCAAATATATCGTTCTATCTTCAGCTAAAGTGTCCTTCCTATGTACATCATACTGCTGATTGTCATGATACGACAAGTCGGTGTAGATAATAATGTGACTTCCACGTAAAATCTTATAGATTAGGTAATCACA